TTCATCTAAATAAAAATATTGTATTATATATATTATAAAAATATTTTAATACCTAATCTCTTGTTAATGATTGAAAGTGATCTATCTGACTCAATAATTAACAAAAACAAATGCGTGGTTTATTAATATGGCTGTACAATATACCAATGCAGAATATACCGATATGTTACTGACATTAGGATTTTGTGAAGAAAATGCTCGAGAGAGTGTCAGGGTGTACTCTGAAAGGTTTCCAAATCGTCGTGTACCTAGCCACCCAACTTTTGCTGCTGTTGAGAGACGTCTTCGGGAGACCGGTTCCTTTGCTCCCAACACTGTTGATAATGGAAGAGCAAGTTTTGTAAGGATTCCTGAAGTTGAAGAAGACATTTTAGAACGTGTTGAAGAAGATCCAGAATTAAGTACCAGACGAATTGGAAGGGAACTAGGAGTAAGTAAATATGTCGTTCATAGGTGCTTAGAGAACAATTGCTGTATCCATACGATAAGAAGCCAGCACAAGAATTATTAGTCCATGATCCTCAAATTCGTTTAGGTTTTTGTCGATTTGTTAATATGCAAAGATAAAGAGATCCAAACGTTGTCAAGAAGGTTCTCTTTACCGATGAAGCGGGTTTTACAAGAAGAGGTATAACTAATACCCATAATGAACATGTTTATGCCGTTGAAAATCCGCATGCAATAAAGGTAAACCATTTTCAGCACGAATTCAAAATTAATGTGTGGGCTGGAATAATTGGTAATTTCATTGTTGGTCCTGTCATACTTCCACGAAGATTAACTGGAGAAAATTATTTGGATTCTCTACAAAATACGTTGCCAGAATTGTTAGAAGATTTACCTCTCCAACTTTGGAGAGATATGTGGTTTATGCAAGATGGAGCTTCACCACATTTTTCTTTAAACGTTAGAAACCACTTGAATGAATAATACCCACACAAATGGATAGGCAGAGGTAATGACGCACCTGTAAACTGGTCACCACTTTCCCCAGACCTAACAGCGATGGATTATTTTTATGGGGACGTCTGAAATCCACAGTTTACAGCATGGGCGTCGTTTGGGAGGGGCAAGGGGGGGCAGTTGCCCCCCTGGCTTTTAAAACTTAATTAACAACGCAAAAGATATGTATTACGATCAACAATCTCATAGAAATAATAATATTCAGGCTAATATAGTTGAAGAATATTATAGGTTGAATATATTTATTGCATATCTGGATTCCCTTACTAAGTGACGTAAGGGAATCCACGCTTTTCCGAAGACTCTGTTAGTTTTTCCTTAAGCCTGTTACATCTCAAAAACATAAAAAAATACTTTTTTTCACAATCGATTAGAAAATGAAAGTAGTGGAAAAATTTGGAATTGACAATTTTGAAGCTGAATACCAAACTGGAGTACGAAAGAGCTTTCTACAAACAATGAGCTCTCCATTAATGATATAGCGTCCAAACATTGTAAATTTTATGGCTCTTCCACCAACGACAGAGTTAATCGAAAGAATGTTTAGCACGCTAAGGCATGTTAAAACATGGCTACGGTCTATTCGAACAGTGCGAAGTCATAGTAGAGAAAGCAAAGCGATACTAGCGCAAGCTACGGATAATTCGAGTACTGTAGGGCAATATTTTGTAATTTTGGCGTATCTAATATATGTTTTACTAAAAAAATAGGTTAAAAACAATAAAATGAGGAACCAAAGTTGCTATGTTGCAAATTATACTAGCAAAGAAAACTGTAAATTGTATAAATTTTCAGTAACAAAATCGAAATTAAATCAAAGAAATAAATGGGCAGCTGTATAATAGGAAGAAAAAAAACCTTAATTTTTGTAATAATAACAGTAATATTGGAAATAAGAGGAATTAGAAAAGGTTTTAAATATACAATAAATTATTATTTTATGATATTCTTCAACATCTCTTAAATCTTTAATGTTTAGCAAATGATTAGATTTCTGTCTTTGATTATTTTATTTCCCTGAAATGCAATCTTGTGACTAATTGATAGGAAACCAGTTTTAATCATTAATTTCTACAGTTCTTTTGAACTAAAAATGAAGAAAATATAAATTACAGTTACAAATAATATACCAATTATTTTTGGTAATACGTTTTCATTCTACGTTATTATACAATGGTAATGTTTTTATTTTAACTTTATTTAACATATTCTTCAATGACAACTTATAAGGCTTAGGCAAGAAAATGTATGAGACATTTTCTCGTAAATACCTACCTATGTTTTATTATTGATTTTTATTGATTGTACCTACTTTTTTTAGCTGAAGTAATAAAAATATATAATATTAATAATAATAATTTTTTCACTTGTGAATAATGAATGAAAGTAGGCTGACTGAAGAATACATTATGTTTTCTGTTATCGATGTTTTTAGTAGATAAAAAAAAAATTAAAATTTGAGTTTTTCTAGCGTTTTTCTTGTTCATCGTCGTGTTTGAGTGAGTTTTTTATGTTTTTGTTTTTTATAAATTTTTATTTTTTATATTATTATGTACGGCTGTCTTCTTGTTTATATTTTGCTTTTATATCACACCTTCAGTTTGTTTTTTAAAAATGTGTTTTAAGTTTCTTGTTTTTTCTTTATTTTGGTTTCTGTCTTTTTTGTTGGGTTATTTTATTTATTAGATACTTGTTATGACAACTTAAGTATCAGTTTTGTTAAATAAGTCAGTGACATTGTTAGGGTTACTACTCACCCTTATGAAGTGATATATCGGAATAATTTTGTTCTGTTTGAAAGAGTAGATCAAATACTTTCTTATGAAGGATTCAATTGTTCTGTGACATCATGATTTACTTCCGGTTTTTCCGAAAATAACAGAAAATCGCATTTTTTTTTAATTTTAAAAGGAAACCCCTTTTATTTATTGTAAATTTAAATTTTTGGAACATTTTTGTATAATAATCGTGTATATCGGATATTTTTTTCTAAATATGTTACTATTAATTCGTTTATGGAAAAACATATAGGAATGTACGAACTTTATAAAATCTTTTTAGGCTTCAAAATTCTCATTGAGATCCATTTATCGTATACCAGTGGCGTATCTAAGCATTTTTGTTATTAGCAAACCGTTTAATAATTCCATCTGCTTTTATCTTCGTTGTTAATTGAGATATTGGAATGAAAACTTACTTGTTTAAAAGCTTGGGACAAATACTCACATATACTGGATTTAATTAATGTGTGACTTCATGTCTTACTTCTGTTTTATCGGAAATAACAGAAAATCTCAATTTATTTTTAATTTTTAAATAGAAACCTCTCTTTTTATTGTAAATTTGAATTTTAGGGACATTTGTGGATGAGAATCATGTATTGAAAATTTTCTGTCAGCTATCAAAATGACGATCATATTGGAAAATATTTTTTACTAACAGAAAATTTTCAATACACGCTTCTTATACAAAAATGTCCCAAAAATTCAAATTTTCAATAAGAAAAAGGGGTTTCATTTAAAAATAAATTGCGATTTTCTGTTATTTCTGGAAAAACCGGAAGTAAGCCATAAAGTCACAGAATAATTAAATCCATCATAAGAAATTTCTCTTTTATTTTTCATTTTCTTTGTTTTCCAACAAATAAACATTCTAAATTTTGCCCCTCCCTATAGAATTGTGTAACGACACCCATGGTTTACAGGGAACCTGTAGAAAATGAGGAACAACTCTGGCAACGTATTCAAGATGCAATAAACAATCTTAGAGGTGATGAAGAAGTTATGGACAGGATACATTTTAATTTTCTTTGACGTATAAATCTTTGTATGCGTGAAAATGGTGAACATTTTAAACAATTTTTGTAAAATCTCCTTTTTGATTATGTTGTAAATAAATATTTTTGTGAAACCTATACACTCTAAATTATTAAAACAGAAATTTAGCGAAAACCATGAGAGTAATCGAGTCTTATCAAGAGTACTTTTTTTAAAGTAAGTGAGTTGCGCAATCTAAATTTCATACTCAAACTCCTTTTCTTCCATTGGCGTAGAATTTTTAAAGGTGCAATTATTTAAAAAATCAAGTTCTACGCCTATGTATTATTATCGGACAAAATTTTAATACCATTTTTTTCCACATAAAACTCTACCAATATACCAAATTTCAGCAAAATCGCACATGCCGTTTTAAATTTATATGGGAAAAACGATTTAAAAATTGTAACTTCAAGGCCCTCTGGAGCCCAAACGAAGCAACTTTGTACTAAGGTAATTTTACTTATTTTGGTCTAAGAAATATGTGGTATGTTTTTGAAAAGACCTTTTACAGACACCCTGTATATATGGAATAATGTATTACACATTAATGACAATTTATTAAAATATAAGAAACAATTATTACACCTTCAGTTTCCGAAATATTAGGTTGTGGGCCAGGTTTTATACGAGGCCAGTTCATACCCTTTGGGCTGCTTCAGACGAAACTGTAGAGGATTATAAACGGTAGTGGACTAAATTAATAATGGTCTGCATCTTAAATTAAAAGGTTTTATTATTCAAAAAGTGACATCAGTGAAAAATTAAAAATACAATGTCAATCAAAAAATGGTAATTAAACTTAAAGAGAAGAATATCGAATAACGATAAGGGTAAGGCATGGTCTCCATACGTTTGTATTTATTTTTCCAACACTCCTCCTTAAATCGAACTTCTTAAGACATTGCGTGCTAAGCCTAATTCACGAAATTACCTCTGGGGTCCACGCACGTTTTTTTCTTAAAATATGAAATTTTATCATGAAAAGCACGTAAAAACATTACAAAGTTGACGCGGCCCCTAAGGAAAGTTATTAGAATTTTTCTTCAGGAGGCCACGTCATTCAAATATGTATGACAGCTTTTGATTTAGTTCTCTTTTGATTCAAATTTGAATTCGTAAAGTGCTGAGTTTAGAAGTGTTTATTGAACTAAAAATAAGACAATTGAAGTGTTTATTGAACTAAAAAAGACTATTAAAGTGTTTACTAAGCTATAAATAATGTCAAAACGCAAAAAAGTTTTATCCGGTGCGGACCTGCAAAAAATTGCAAACGAACTAGTTTTTGAAAATGAAAATAGTGCTTCAGATTTCGACTCCGATGATTCCGTGACGGATCCAGTATGGAAAATTGATCCTAAGAAAAATCCAGTTTCTCAACAAGATTCAGAAGAATCATCTGACGAGGAATTCAATGACAATAATGATATCGAAAATGTTCTTCGGGGAATGGTTTTGGAAGAAGTTGCAAAAGAGGAAGAAGAGAATGACACCATGACAGATGAAGAAGTGTTGTCATTGAATTCTGGTTGGACTGAATATGTAGGCCGGCATAAAGAACTTCCCTTCACTAGCCTCTAGGGGCTTCAGGTCGATTTATCAGCTAATATTTCTCCATTTGAGATCTGCAACTTGAATTAAAAGGTTTTATTATTCAAAAAGTGACATCAGTGAAAAATTAAAATTACAATGTCAATCAAATAATGATAATTTAATTCAAAGAAAAGAACGTCAAATAACGGTAAGGGTAAGGGGTGGTCTCCATACGTTCGTGTCTATTTTTTCAACAGAAACCTGGCCCATAGCCTAATTTACGGAAGCGGCAGGTGTAATAAATATTTTTCCTACAGTAATAAATTGAAATTAATGTGTAATAAATTATCCCATACACAGAGTGTCCCAAAATTAGACTCTCATATTTTAACCTCGTAATCTACATTCTAAAACAGGAGTAAAAGTTCATATAAACATAGGTCAGAAAAGTTTTGTTTTCGAGATACAGGGTGTTAAAATAGAAGTCCTGATTTTTGTAAATATTCTCTAAAATTTCTTTAATCACCGGTTTTCCAAAATTTTAAAATTAAAATTTCTAATTCCACATGCCTTCTAATTATTATTGTTTACACTTTTAACTTGTCATAAAATTTTTAAATGCTTTTCTCTTAAAAATGGTGCGTCCTAGCGAGATGCAACAAAAGTAGCTTTATTATAAAGAAAACATTGGTTTTTTAAACTTTATAATTAAAAATGTAAAAAATTGTCAACAAAAAACTTTGGTCAATTTTACCCTAAACCCCCACTAATTTACCCACCTATGAAGATGATCAAAAACGGGAATTTTGTCCATTAAATAAAGCGTAAAAAGGTAAGCATTTGTACCAAATTTTACTTAGTTAACTATAAACGTTTAGAAAATATTTACAAAAGTGTGTCATCAGGACTTTACTTTTAATACCCTGTATCTCGGAAAAGAAACGTTTTTGGACCTATATTTATACGAACTTTTACTCCTATTTTAGGATGTAGATTACGCTGTTAAAATATAACCGTCTAATTTCAGGACACCCTGTAGGATTTCCACTCCAACAAACGCCTTTCCTAAGGTTGTGGGCTGGCTTTAGATGAAACCTGGCCCACTTTCTAATATTTAGGAAGCAGCAGGTGTAATAAATGTTTCTCTTATTGCAATAAATTGTAATAAATGTGTAATACATTTCTTCGTAGTTAGTTTTAAGATGGGGTAAAAGTACTGGTCCAGCTTTGTTTTCATATTTTTGTATGGACATTCTCAAGCCCCCACATTAAACGAATAATTTTTTATTATAAAATTTAGTTATTATTTCTCATGCTACTCCAGTTGGATTTGTCTAATTTATATTAAAAGCCACATGTACCACTTAGTCACTCATAAAGAGTTAGTGGGTTTCTATACCATGTGATCATTGATATCACTATATTTTTTTATTTTTTAGTTACCCCTATAGTGTTTTCACTATTATCTTCTTAGGTAAACTTTGAAATAAAATTGTACACTTTTAGTGTTTCTTTCCGAAGTAGTATTGATGAATAAATTTAAAAATGCCATTTATTTTTTGTATTTTTTTCTAAAGAACCTTAGTGGGTTTCTGATCTGTGTGACTATAGAGGTTCCTCAGCCAGAGGCGCAAATTTCATATCTAGTGTTTTAATATAGCTACTGATTTAAATAAAAAAAAACGGGTATATTAAAGGTATCATTATAGAGCATCATGTAAAAATATTCATTTATACAAGTTGTTCCAAAAAAAAAACTGATCGATGACATGCGGTTTTTTCATTGTGCATGTTGACTTTTTCAGAAGTATTTTTTTCTAAAAATGTATTAATATGTTGTTAAATATTGGATTTAATTTCAAGAACCGTTTGGAAGTAAAAAATAAACACCGCCCAACTAACAAAGTAGCTTTATAATTTTTAGTTTACAAGACTATTATATTTTATTGATATTATATTGCTGTTTCTGGAATGCCAATTTATTGTACTACAGTTGCAGAAATCACTATTTTGTTCTCCGAAACTAAATTGTTATATAAATTAGTTTTTACAATATTCTTACAGCAAAATTATAAAATAGTTTTCACGATAACTATGAAATTGTTACATAAACATTTATACAACTGTTCTATACAATATTTCAGCTTATAAAATAAAATTGCTTTATAATTATTCTATATTATTGTTCTGGATTACCTTTAGAACGTTTTGGTTATACAAATATAACTGTTTCTTAACCTCATAATAACGCTTTAAAAAATAGTTATATAAATATTAGTGTGAGATAATTCCGCGTCAATAGCAATTTGCTTCTGATGAAAACTATAAAATAACTGTAATATATTGTCGACATACACTATTACAAATCAGAAAACTGTATAGCAATTATTTTAGTTAAGAATAGTATTATCCCTTTAAAAATATTTATAAAAAAAATAAAGCAACTACATTTGGTAGTACCAAGGCCATATTATTTTGTATTTTATGTTTATTCAACTACTTCTCATACCAATTGTATGTGAGTGTATGGTCTGATTGTATGTCAGATTTAAATAGTGAAGAAATATAAAAAATAAGTGGCACCTGCTTTTCAGAGAACAGTAAAAAATATTAGTAAAACATTTTGCTGGTTTACCTAGACACTCAAAAAAAAAAAACTATCATTCAGCCAGATAATAATTAGGTATGTTCTGAATAATCATGCCCCAATACTAAAAGAAAGCCATATTTTTGGCGATGTCTATGTTACACTTACTTATTCTCGTAATATTAAAAATTATGCTTGCTCAATCAAGCTGTAGAAACAAATCTAATCATTTCAATTCTCAAATACTTAAATCGGAAACGATTTAGTAAGGTTATGTTATATTTTGTCATATAGTGCAGAAATATGAAACAATTATACAACAAACCATGATGAACTTGTCTTGTAAAAATAAGTAATACAACTTAATTATTGTATTACAGCTGTTTTTACTACAATAATATTTTATAATTATGATTCAGTCTTAAAATAACTTTCTAATACCTCTGAATAGCCGCCATATTTAACAAAAACCTAAGATACTTTTAAAGCTAAATCTACTGTCGGTTTTACTAGTATTTAAGAGAAAACCAATGTTAATTAAAGATTTTAATCATTAGTAATATTAGCATAATCTTATTACTAAAAAAAAATCAAATTGCATAAATTTAATTTTTGTTTCACACTGAAAAAGTATTAGAAATATGAATCAAACTCGAGGCGCTTAAAAATTTAGTATTGTATGTGCTATATAATTAACAGTAATTCTTGCTGCGCATCCAAAAACGACTTTATTGTAGGTCATACATTATGTCTCAACCGAGTTATAGATATCTCTTAAGTAGATATTGCCATTTTACTAATATCGCCTTGAATTTACTTTTATGACAAATATAGAATTAATTTGTTTTCACCAGATACATTTAAAAAACTAAAATGTTACTGATTTTGATATGCAACCTAACCTCAAAATAGAAAATTTATAAAACAGTTATAAAAGTTTAAAAAAACATTTGTTTAAAGTCTGTGTAAATGTGTAGTAACTGTTCGGTAACTGCATTCAACAAATCTTATAGAATTTACAAAAGAACCAAATAGTTCTGTAATACTGCGCCCATTTTGTGTTTATTACTGTTGAAAGAATGTTCCGGAAATGTTCTTAGCTAATATTCTATTTTATAAATTTTGTTCTGTAAACATTTTTTCAGCTTTTATAAAATATCAAATTGTTACTTGGGCGACTCCTATGGATTTTCATTCTTATGAGACCATGGGGTTATTTTTAATTTAAGTTAGTTTGAGTCTAAATAAATAAGGAAATAAACGTGAAATTAAAAGTAAATTTATTGTAGATAAAAGCAAACGAAATTGGTAAAATATGTGTAAAAGATCCAAGTTTCACAGGTGTTCTCAACTGTGGGGTTGAAACATTACTTAAAGTTCTCGATCAAGCCGTTGTTACGAAAAATATTGAGGTTTTCCCTGGATTATCCATTGTAAGGTAATACTTTCTTTTATTCTAATCAAAATATAACATATAACATTGGTGGTCCTTTTTAAAATGATAATGAATAAATTAACTATTTATATTTTTGCCATATTTGTAGAGATTCATCAACTTATTTGAGGACATCTAAAGAGTTTCGTGAGCAGTTACCTTCAAACTCAAGCGAAAGATATGAAAACCTTTTCAATTTACTTTTGAGAGCTACAAAAAGGTTTATAGAAGGAAGAAGTCTGCAGATAAAATTATCCAACAGAACGGTTGAGAGTGTAGCTAGAGTTTTAGAAGAAGGCAAGTAATTTTAATATGGGTATTACTAAAATTTGAATATTCTTTACAATTTTGTCAAAATGTAGGTTATTACTGAAATTAGTAGAAAACTACACCGAGGGAAATTTTTTGCTATGGTAGCAAAAAATGTATTAACCCTTAAAAAAACTATTAAAATAGGCAACAGCCAAAGTACTTTGCCACGGTTAATAAATTCACTTTTTTGGAAATACTTTTTAGTCCCTAAAATTTTACTTTTTAGTTTTTAATAATTTTAGTGGTTAGAAAGTAAATTTTAACTCACTAAAAAGTAGTTTTTTATGGTTAAAAAGTAGGTTTTTAGTGGTTAAACAGTATTTTTCTTGCAGTAAAAAAGTATTTTGTTACCTTGAACAGGCAGTTTTAATTGTTAAAGAATTATTTTTTATCTCTTAAAAATTGATTTTACTGGTTAAAAATTAGGCTTTTAGTGGTTAAAAAATAGTTTTTATTAATTAAAAGTAGTTTTTATTGGTTAAAAATTAGGTACTGATTAAGAAATTACTTTCTTTGCAATAAAAAAATATTTTTTTTACCTTAAAAAGGTAGTTTTAATTGATAAAAAAATAATTTTTACCTTTAAAAACTTGTTTTTAGTGGTTAAAAAGTAGTGTGTAGTGGTTTAAAAAGTAACCTTTTACCTTTAAAAAGTAGATTTTAATGATTATACAGTTAATTTTTACCTTTAAAAAGTATTTGTTGGTTAAAAGTAAATTTTGCTATTTAGGGCTGGTTTCTTCAGCTCTTAGGCCGTCTTTTTTATAAAAAAATAAAGTTCAGTTAAACTCAAAATACAAGAATGTTTTGCATGTATTAAATGTCAAATTTCCAGATTTACCGAGGATAACTGAACTTTATAATGAAACCAGTTCTGTAAAAATAGAAAAATTAACTTTTTAGCCGTGCATTAGAAACTATATATAATTATTAAAGCAAAATTTACCTAATATACAGGGTGGCTCACGCTCAACGGGACGGAGCTTTATGGGAAAACGACCAAAGATATAAAAAATTCGTTTGGGAGGAATACGTAGGTTACAGACGGCTACAATTTAAAATTTGTTAGATGTATACAGGATGTCCCACATAAGAAAAAAAAATTAGTTCATTAAAAATTATTCAAACAATTAATTTCTGCGAGACTTTTTTTCCTTAAAAATTCAAATAAATCGAAAACTAATAATAATAATAGTAATAGGGAACCTTTAGTTTACTGACATTATTTTTGATGTAGTTTTTAATTCTAAAATAAAAAACAGGGTGTTCCAATAAAAATAATATAACTTTGTATATTTTCTCTTATGTGGGACATCCTGTATACATCTAACAAATTTTAAATTGTAGCCGTCTGTAACATACGTATTCCTCCCAAACGAATTTTTTATATCTTTGGTCGTTTTCCCATAAAGCTCCGTCCCGTTGAGCGTGAGCCACCCTGTATAACTACTTATATAATTTACATAAATTTTTATTTAACCTGTGGTGAAAATACAGATCAACATAGGAAAGGAAGGGTTTCAAAAATAAAACAGACGATTATTTTGTAATAAATATATTAGTTATATTGCTAAATATTTCAAAAATGTATTTGAATTTTAAAAATTCAGTAGGTTATGTAATATAAAATTGTTATTTGATAATTTAAACTTATTTGTCTTTAGACGTATAATAACGTAAGGCATATGTATCAAGAAATTTCAAATGAGCAGTTAGTAGCTTTAAATTAATCCGGTATTTATTCTTTGTGAAAAATCCTAAAAGAAATTTTATTCTAAATATATTGTTTTCTGTTTATTATAATATAGAATAGAATAATGAAAATCCATGCCATTAGGATTATTAACTAAAATAGGTAGGAACATAAAAACATAACATTCTTCTCTCTACCAGGTGGGCCATTCCAAACGATCCTTCCTTAATATCTAGAAAAAAAATTATATTTTATTAATACTATCTCAGAAACTCAAATTTCGAATTTTAATAAACTTGAGCACCAGTCATGGATCCTAGAAACCCCCTCCCCTAGAGTAAGTTAAGAAATTAGATAAAAATTAATGGCAGGTTTTTTTGAGAAATGTTTAAATTTAGGTTTTTAAGGTTATACTGTTAAATGGAACAAAAAATGAATCAGTCCGAATCCTTTATAACCGATACGAGACTTGAAGGGAATTAGGGGTTTTCTGACGCAATGAGTCATTGAAAGAATTTTATGAGAATTCCCTTACTTCTAGCAAAAATATCTTAACGGGAAAAGTACCACCAGACAAAAGAGTTTAATATCTTTATAAATATATAATTAATTCACATTCAAAAATGAAAGTGAACGGGCCCATTTAGAACATGGGCATATAATGTCCTGATAGCCAAATTGTTAGGGTGAAGTAGGTAGAACGAGGATTTTTAAAAGTTTTAAACCTTTCTGGAATAGAATCTTTAAAAATTTTTAATAAATTTTTAATTTTTCGTAAAAGAATATCTAACGAATTTATACAGAATTTATTTGAATAAAAGTTGATGTGTTTTTAGGTCGTGGCAGAATGAAGAAGATGCCTAACCCCTGGATGTTTGGTATTGGAGCAACAGCAATGATGATGGTGCCAATGATTTTGGGAACATTAACTTTATTCTCAGTTAAAGCTTTAGTGGTTGCCAAAGCAGCTTTAATAATATCTGCTATTATATTTATTTCTTCACTTTTGCCTACTGTAAGTCTTTTTTATTATTTATTTAATATTAACATGAATTGGGAAATATTCAGAGCAATTGACGAACAGCTCAAACAAAAATAAAATAAAAACATAGACGCTTTCAAATATGGTCATCTGCAATAAGACACAAAAAGTGTACTTAATGTATTCAACTTTATATAGAAATTATAATAAAATGGTTACGGTTGTTAAATTACAAGAACAAATCTTACGTCCTAAGATTTAATGAAAAGCATTTATTATAAATAATAAATATGACATTATTACCCATTTGGTTTATACATTTGCTGTTTGCACCGAATTAGTTTTAATTTTAATACATGCTGCGCCATCTCTCACATTGACTATCAAGTTCCGACTCCGCGAGTACCGTGAGGGATGTGACGATATGGGGTGCGAAGTGCGACCAAGAAAAGAGTCGAGAAACTTATCTCGAACGCGACGAGAGCGAAATCCCGGTGCCAGTCTGCACCACTTTATTATTTTTAATAAATCTATAGTTCAAAGTAATTTCTAGTGTTTAATTTCAAAGGGATAAAAAATCCCGAAAATTCGAAAAATAGATGCGGTTTTCATCGAATCAACATTTGCTACAACGAATAAAACAATTTCTTAATTTAGACCTCTCTTGCTACTGACTGAAAACCAAATAAATTAAAAAATTAAAAAAAAAACTTTAAAAATAAAATAACACAATACAATAAAAATATAATTATTATCCTTTTTATCAAGGCTATAAAAAGTTTTTAATGTAAAAATTATATCTACATTCTTTTAATTCTAATACTGTTCTATTATACACCGTGTCCCACGTAAGGCGGGCATTACAACTTTATGGAGAATAAATTAATTTGTATTTTCGCCATTTTCTAAGTATACATAATCGAATATGCTCTTTTCAATTAAAATAAAATGAACTCTGTGCAACTTCCGGTTATACCGGAAGTGACCACTAACTTCGTTATTTTAAAGGGAATACCCCATATCTTTTTTAATTTTAGATTCAGCATGAAATTCTGTAAACAACGATACCCCATTTGCCTATTCTAGTTATAGCGGATTTGGCGTTATTCAATTTTTTTCTACATTTTTAGTCGCCGGTAGACATTTTCTTTAAGTCGTCTATCTCAGGTACTATATCTATCAGATACTTAAAATTTTAACCGTAGGTAGTAGATGGAATGTACTTCTTGAGAATATTTAGTTATTCATTATTTGTTGTACGGGGTTTTTGCAAATTATTTTTAAAAATGAAATTTTTTAAACATAAAAAACTTTTTATTTTAAATTGAACACCCTACATATTTTTTAAATTTTAGTTTCAGCATGAAATTCTGTAAACAATGATACCCCATTCGCCTATTCTAATTATAGTGTATTTGGCGTTATTCAGTTTTTTATAAACTTTTATATGCCGGCAGACATTTGCTTTTTTAAATTTACTTGTACATCGTTTGTTCGACTGTGTGTTTGGAAATTATTTTAAAAAATAAATATTTTAAACATGAAAATTTTTTTTATTTTAAATGGAAAATCCTGTATATTTTTATTTCATTTTGTTCAGAAAATTATTCTTCATTGATCTTCATTTGCACTATTAATTCCCTATAATTATCTCTCGTCAATTTTAAGAAAATTTAAATTTAAATTTTACGCATGCACCTACATAATATAGTATTGTTTTACATTTTAATTTTTTTATCTTAGTATGCCATGGAAATATGCTAAACAACAATCTATCAACAAACTGAATTGTCATATTTCTATGTATTTAAGTTGTGTATTTTTTGCGTTCAAAATATGGAAAATATTGAAGAATATACCAACCAAGATATTCTTAATTTATTTTACATTCATGGAGAATGTAATCGAATCAAAAGTAGAACCTGCCGCATGTTTAATGAACGATACCCTCATTTACCACCAATGAATAGACATAAATTTGATAGAATCGAAGCTAACTTTTTGAATAATTTTAAACAAAACCCGGGAAGAAACCGTCAACATTATGTCCGAGATGAAGAAGTTAATGTAATTAACGTATTAGGGTATTTTACTGCGTATCCTCACGCCTCCATTAGAATGGCTCAAGATAATTTAAATATTAGTCGAGGGTCAATACAACGAATTTTAGCACTAAATAAATGGCATCCCTATGCACAAAGAAAAGTTCATGAGTTGCGAGATGGTGACCAAATAAGACGAACTGAATTATGCGAATGGTTATTGGTACGAATTCAAGAAGATCCCGAGATTTTAAACAAAATTTTGTGGTCAGACGA